TCCTTTGTCCCTGGCCATGTTGTAGAGGCTGACAGAGAAAGTCTGGACTCTGCACTGTCCTCTGGGACAGAGCATCTCACCTTCGCTCAGAGCTTATGATGTATGATCCTCCATTCCTGATCACCTCCTTTCTGCCTCCACACTGGGTAAAAAGCAGAATCAGAGAGGAACAGAAGAAATGGCACTTGGAGACTGTTAGCAAAGGTGCTTTTCTTTCTTTAAATGATTATGGTGTAGTAACTGACAGTTCTAATTTTAGGTAACAAAAATGTGGTAGTTGCATTTGGCATGGTGCTTTTAAGAAAAAAAAAATAATTTGTTAGGGAAAAGTCCATCAAGAATGGTAATATTTTAAAGAAAACTTTGGAGCAATTTGTTGGAGGAAGTTTTAGTTCGGTATTCCTCATAATTTTCTTAGGTAGATCGCTGCATTTCCCAGCAATGCTAGAAAAATGAAGTGTTACTCTAGATGACAAGCCTGGCTGCACTGGAAGTTGTTTGATCTCATATTGACTGAATTTCCCATGACGTCACTGCCATCGAATATTCTGGAGTGTTTCTGGTAATCTCTGGAATTCTGGTCCAGCGTAGCAATGTTTCTAGTAATCTCTGGAGTTCTGGCTGAGGGTAAAATAGTCACGTGTATGATGTTTATTGTACACTCATTTATTCTCAATGTTGAGGATGATTGCACTGTCATGTTAATGTCATGCTTTTCCTTTGTAGAGTAATGAGGAAGTACGACAAAAGTGGCAGGCTCCTTTGTAATAATGTTGACCTGTGTGATTGTCTAGAGAAGAACTGCCTAGGCTGCTTCTACCCATGCCCCAAGTGTAACTCCAACAAGTGTGGGCCCGAGTGCCGCTGCAACCGACGGTGGGTTTACGATGCCATCGTCACCGAGTCTGGAGAGGTCATCAGCACGCTGCCATTTAATGTTCCTGACTAGGTGTTCTTGCATATGGAATGATTTGTTTCTTCTTCTTATACATTTAAGTCAACCTCTTTCTCTTGGGTGAATTTTAGGGCTTGGGGGAAATATTGAAAAAAACATACTGAAGACTCATGTTCTGTCAAGCCCCAGAACAATGTAGAATGGGCAATAATTCTGTAACCTTCTTAACTGTGTCAACAAGTTTCAAGTTCCTTAACTTACAACTGAAGAATGTAACAATGGAGGGATCAGCATTTCTCATCAGCACCCTCATCTCTACTCTGCCTTCAAATTAAAACTCTCTTCCCTCTTTGCTGATATCTGAGAAAATGTAGCTTTAAGATTTTCAAAACTCTGTAGCTGAGAGCTTTTCTTACATGGAACATAGAATCTTAAATTTATAATATCTAGTTATCCTTAGAATCTTATACATCACTAGCTGTAAATCAGAATTGACATTTGAATTAAAAAAAAAAGCAAACCTGTGACTGCACTGTATACCCATAGCGTCATTTTTTATTGTTCATGTTTTAATAACATAAAAGTGAAATTTAGTAATACTTGGTAGTATTTTTAATCATTAAAAATTTGTATTGTACTTGTAAAATTGAGACGTCAGGAATTTAATATCCTAAAAGCCAGGAGTTTACATATTTTTGATTTCAGAAATAGTATTTCAGGATTTTTTCATAGAGAGGAAACAAGTTATACAAAAATGATTTTCTGTATGTTCGCTAATTGAGTCTGTTGATAAGCAATTGACTAGATACATGATGTGGTCTTTTCAATTTTGATACATTATCAGAGCTATAAAAATTGAATTCAGCTTTCTTTGAATTCATTTTTTTTATGACAGTCTTTTTTTAACCCTAAGTCAGTGGTTCTCATTCATCAGAATTGCCTGGAAGACTTGTCAAAACATAGATTTGTGTGGCCCCACACTCAGAATCTGGGCCAGAGCTCAATTATCTGTTCCATGTTCCCAGGTGATGTTGATGCTGCTGATGTGGGGACCACACTTTGAGAACCACTTCTCTAAATTATTTTAGATACATAATGTAAGGAAGTATTTAAACCTCATTGACTATGATACTGCCACGGCACAAAGCTGGAAGTATTTAAATAAAGTAATGTAACAAAAATTTAAAAGTAAATAAGAGCATTTAAGTTTTAAAATAAATTAGAAATATTATAAATAGAGGGGTTTTTTT